AGGCCACAGCAACCAGGGGTTGTATCAAGCATGACGCTGCGCCGTGTGGTGCTTTGCGTGTGGGTCCTCGTGCTTTGCTGGTGCAGCACGCCCCTCTGCGTGACGGCTGCGGCGGGAGCTGTGGCCCTTAGTACGGCCTGCCTTGCCGGCTGCCGGAGTTCATGCCGAATGCCGACCTCAGCCTCCGCTCTCAGCAACACTTCAACGCTGTCCACATCTTCAGTGAAGTTGCTAAGCGCCGCCTTTGCGTGCCCCACTGCATTGGTAGTCTCGGCCACTGCTTCTTTTGCATCCTTCACCACCATCCGAGCAAACTCCCTCACAACATCGTGTTTATTTTTTTTCTTTCCGTTGGGATTTGTTTTTTCTGACGACGCGCTTCGACAGCGATGAGGTGAACCTCTCCGTTCAAAGGAGGTTCAACGCCACCGTTGTGCCCACGTAGACACCAGCGGCGTGGTGCCCTCGCGTGTGTCAACGCCCTGGCAGCTGTTGTCGTGTGAGAAATGAAGCCGCCCGCACCGGCTTCACCAACAGATGGGCCGGCCGCACCGCCACCTTGGCGTTCCCGGCGGCAGTGCTGCCTGGGTGCACCTTCGTCCTTCCTCTGCCCATTGCCGCGCAGCGGCAAACACGGCTAGGCCTGGCGCATCACCACATTACTGATGCTAGACACTTCCACATGCCTGCAGAGTGAATGAAGACACACACAGATGATCGCAGTCAAACACAACGGGGGGAGACGGCAGAGAAGAAGCGAAGCGCAACGTGCATCATTGAGCATCCCAGAGTGAGAACAGAGACAAACTGCGAAAAAAACATTAGTGGCAGAGCACAACAAGCCACACAAAAACAAACCCCCAACAACCCCAAATGAAAAAAGATGAAAAAATGTGGCAGCCAAAACGCCTATTTGAAAGTGTGGCTGTGTTGTTAAACAGTTGCCTCCTGGTGTCCCTCTGTGCTCTCGGTGGGGTGCAGCGAGAGGCGGTGCGGCCCTCCACACCACGTCGCAGCGCAGCGCACAGACACAAGCGCGGAGGGAAGCAGCGGGCACACGCCCCGAGTGCACTCCGCAAGCCTTGAGAGGGGCGGACAGCACAGGGGGAGCAGCAGCAATAACACAAAGCCCAATCTGTGTGTTGCCGGAGACTCGCCGGAAGGATAAGAGACAACTGGTGGGCAACACACACTCGTGTGCGGAGCAAAGCCCCAAAGCAAGAAAATGAAAAAGACGCCCTCACTTCGACGAGACCAAGCACAGTGGTTGCACCGTCGAGAATTAAGGGGCACGGCGAAAAATAAGTGAATCAACAATACAGTGAAAACGATAACACATTAAAAGGAGGTGAATTAACATTGAGAGGCCCACACATTTGTGGGATAACTTGCGGCTCATGCACACACCGCTCAATACTGGGAGAGGCACACCAGCAGTGCGAGCAGCACCAGTGGGACACACAGCTGGGCCGAGCCGCTGACCCCATCCATGTTAGTCTTGCCGGGCACCTCATCGCCGTTGCTGTTGGTGGTGTCGGATTTGGGCCGTGGAGAAGCGGCAGCTGCCACCGTGGCCAACGCTTCGGATTCAGATGGTTGCTCCGCAGAAGTGTCCAAAGCACCAGGCACTGCAGTGGAGGCGGCAGTGAGGGGTTCTTTTGCTGCTGGAAGTGTCGACTTGTTCGTAGGCTCTTCATCAGCAGCACTGACGTCTGGCGTAGTCTGTGGTGTTGACGTCCGATGGGTTTGTGTGGAGGTGTCAGAACTTACGCCTGTTAGGGCCTGTGGGTTGTCTTTTGAATCAGACGACGATGTGCTTCTTTGTGTCGAAAGCTTTTCCTCCGTACTTTTGAAGTGCTCAGATATCATTTCCGATGGGTTTGCTGGGAGCTGTCCCTCTCCCTCTCTTGCAGCCAACGTCCTTTGTTCATCAGTCGGCAACTGAGAATTCACTTGCCTTGGTCCAGAGGGTTCCAAAGAGGCGCGTACATCAGTTTTCTTCTCAACTACAAGGTGTTCCTCTTTTGCTGGGTGTTGTAAATCATTATTTTGCACATGCACATCATCTGGGGCTTTGACCTCAGGCTCTGTTTCCTTTTCAACTTCTGGAGGGCACTGCGAAGAGCTTGGGTCTGTCCTCTCTTGCCCTGGTTCTTCAGTACATTTTGTGTGCCCTTGACCTCCCTCTTGGAGAGTATTCGACCTCGGTACAGCCGCCACTGCTAGATTCACTTTCCTTGATTGACTTGCTGTCTGTTGCATTGCAGCCTGAGGACCAGGAGTGGACCCTCCTAACACTTTTGATGAGGGACGGCGTGGCGGTGGTGCATATATATTGTCCTCCGGAGTGTGTAAGGGGTCATCAAGGGTCACAACTCGGACGCAATCCTCCGGCGGGTTTGCGGTCGACATGCATTCTGTAAGATCGTCACTGTAAGTAACTTGTTCACCCACGATACCCGCACTGAGTGCGACAGCTCCTGCACCTGTGAGTCTTGGGTGACTTGTAGACCGACGGAAATACGAAGCCCTCACCTCCTGCTGCGCTGCCGGGCCACCACTCACTGCGGCCGCCCTCCTTGCACGGCTGTCAGCGGCAGCGGCCACGCACCCACACGCGCAACACAACGAGAGGTCCAGCAGAAGAAACACGAGGCGCACCATCATCATCAACACGCACTGAGCTGATGGGGCATGCGCAAAGAAGAAGACCACAGAGCAGATAACGCACAGACAGAGAGAGACACAGTCAGGAGTGGCACTCCACCAGCACACCGGCATATCACACAATGCGTCCAACATGCGCCACAGCGCACCAAGCAAGAGGAGAATCATGTAATTAAAATAAAAGATATTTAAGAGATGAAGCACACTCCCTCGAAAAGCAAAGCCCTCTTATAAACAAAGAAATGATACTGTCCTCACCGACATAATGGAGCCCAATGAATAATGTCGAGAGTCTCATGGGACGACCTTAGTCCCACAGCAGTAGTGAAGCAATGAAATGAAATGTAGTCTTACCATGTGGAGTGGTGCCTTGCCGACTGTAACCCCTTCGGTGGGATCGTCGTTTCGCCGCCACACCCACGACTCAGAAAACCGAGCAGCCAATCAATGCACCCAACAGCAACAGCAGTGACGGCGCACACATCCACCCTGCGCTGCCGCTGCCGTCTGTGCCGCCACTCTCACCCATCGCGGCACTCACAACGCTGCTCGGTGGAAGCAGCGGAGACTCAGGCGCATCGCTGGCTGGAGAGGATGTCTCCCCAGTGTGTTCATCAGACGTTGCGGTGGCTTCAGTGGGCTCGGTTAAAGAAAGACCATTAGGCACGACGGCTGCCTCTGAATCACCGGCTGGCGGGGCTTGTGCATCGGCTGCGTTGGGTGCATCTGCAGGGGGAAGTGTTCGGGTGTTGTCCTTTCCTTCTGCCGGTGTTTGAGAAGCGGCTGCAAGAGGAGTATTGTTAGGTACTTCCACTTCTTTCTTACCTTCTGGTATCACTTGGCGCTGTTCTACAGCACGTGGTTCATTTGGTAAATCAGGAGAAGCAGCACCTTCTTTATTTGCCTGATTTACTGCGACGGTAGGAGGCTCCTCGATGCCCTGTCTGTCTTGCTGCAGTGGTGCATGAACGTTTTTCTGAGAGCTGTGTTGGGGCACACTTCGATTTTTAGGTAGTTTCCTAACTTTTTGAGCAGCACCTTCCGCGGCTTCTGCAGCCTCCACCATTTTTCCAGCGGCTTCAGCCGCCTTTTCAGCTTTCTGAGACGCAGTTGTGGCTTTTTGCGCTGCAGCTTTAGCTTTTTCCAGCGCCTCATCGGCGTGTAGTCCTGCCGCCTGAGCGTCCTTCTTTACATTCTCTTTATTTCTTTCTGTACGACCCGCACCACTGCTATCTGTTATGCCCGCTATCATACGAGCATCATTCACCACCTGCTTGGCGTGCCACTCTGCAGTCTTTGCGTTCTCCTGAGCAGCCGTCGCTTCACTCAAAGAAGAAGTTGCATTGCTCGCCGCGCCATCAAGTCCAGCCTCACTCGTTTCTGCGAGTGTCAATAAATCTTTTACTTGCTGTGGGACTGAACCTTCCCATAACTTTATTGCTTCCTTAACATAATTTGTGATCATCGAGGTCGTCGGAAGCGCTTCCTGTGCTGCATTCTTTGTCTCTTGGGACAATCCTGCCGCCGTACTAAGGAGATCCTTTGCCTTCTGAGAAGTTGACGCAGCAGTCCCCGCTTTTTCTTGAACTTTAACAGCCTTGTTGTGATCAACGCCAGCTAGAACTTCATTTTGAAGCCCAACAGCCTCACTTTGCGCAGTCTTTGCGGCTTTTAACGCCTGTTCTGAAGCTTTCTTAGCACCATCAGCCTTCTTGTAGACAGCCACCGCAGTTTCTTCTGCACCCCCTGCAGCTTGCTTTACAGTTCTGAGAGCTTTTATCACTTCATCCATGCTGCTTGTTGGCGCCCCAACAGCCGGCACAATCCCGCACAGCAGCAGGAGGGCAACAACGAACAGCACGTGGCGCACCGCCAGCATGATACTGCAGTC